CTTCTGTGAATAATAATCAAACCTGAGAGGCCTAACATGAGTCTTCCAGACTAGCGTTCCAGTTTACAATGCCCCCAAATCTGCCTTTAGGGAGGCAGGTTTAAAGATGAGTGTTGAACCATCCATTGGACAGGTGAGGGACAGAGCTATGAAATACTCCTCTCAATTCCCAATAGTAAGAAAACAGTAGAGGCTCCAAAGCTTAAGTTTCTAAAATTTAGGATGTTTTAAGTGCATTTCAAGTTTTTTGTAGAAAACAGATACATGTTTCAATGTATTTGGATGTTCTTGTTCTTAATAAAAAATAAATAAAAAAAATACACTCATGCTTTAAAGTCTCATGCTTTCTTCTGCTTCTGACTGCTAGCTGCAATGAACCTGCAGGCTGTGTTCCCCTCCGGCAGCTCTGCACGAGCCCTTTGCAAGCTTAAGGATAACTAGTCTCGCACTATGATCACGGACACAGACAGACCTGCTCTTACCATCACTTTTTTACCTTTTCTATGGGTAGTTTAAGCAACTATATTCCAGGGAGGCTCTGCGCACCTTTCCATAATGATGCCAAACACTGTCTTGCCTTTGCCCTCATTCAAAATCCATGCAGAACTTAATAAACATTAACGTGATCCTTAACTGGGAGTGATAAAAATGAACTCGTGGCAACGATTTCAATCTGAGGTCACATCTCTTGCTTCATACCCCATTTGGCAGCTCCAATGCTGGAAAGAACAGAAGGAAAAAAGCTGGACATGTGTAAGGCTGGTGTGACCACTAGTAACAAACCTATAAAACTGAAGTTTGGAATAATCTAACAAAAATGTGAAACTCTATCTTGTTTTATTCCAATTCCTACAGATTTGTCGAAATACTCTAATGGAGTGCTTGTGTGAAAATATTAAGACTCAGGTTAAATCAGTAGAGACACTGAAATGAATCAACAGTTTCTGATGTTTTCTTCCTTTTTCCAGGTTCACCATACATCTTCAAAATTAACAAATTAAGTATCCTCAAAGGGCCAATTATCTTTGCTTGTGTTTCAAGCACCAGTCCTACCATCTGCAAACTGAAGTAATAGTTAAAAGCCCTTAATGCTATTGGAGGCAAAAGCCAAATCTTGGAAACTTGCAGCAATAAAGTTGGACGACTCCAAACTTCTTTTTTTTTTTTTTTCTTTAACTGATTCTAGGAAATTAAATTTTATAGAAAAAGCAGATGTTCTCCTACTTCATCAACTCCAACTCCTCGCATGTGTAGCAGCTGATCTACTTCCTACTGAGACATTCTCTGACTATCAAGAACTACTGGGATCTGTGAAGAATGACCAGTGCACAACAGCAGAGAAGGGAAGAAGCTGGAAGACACAGATCTCTCCAGAAAGCTACCTCAACCTGACTAATTCTCTTAAGGAAATAACCTCCAAGAAATAAACCTGCAAAGGCACTGCAAAAGGTTGGACAACATATTTGTACCAGATGCTCTGCTAGCACAAGGAATCCTGCAGACAGAGGCCCAGGGACGCTACCCCAGCCTCATTCCTTTCATCCCATGTGATCTTTTATGATGGTCTGTGCTTGGCATAGAAAGATCTTCCTTCCATATTTAATCCCTTCGTAGATTTAAAGGTTCAGCAATTCTCCTAACTCAAAACTGCTCTAAAGCCACATATATAGACTAACAGGATTAGTATCAGAACCACAGCAAGACCTCGCTGCAGTTTTAAGTGACGCAGCTGAAGACTTCAAGCCCACTTCAAATGTGCTAGAGCCGAGGCTTGGATCCAAGTTCCCATCTTCAGCTTGGAGCAAGCAGAGCTTAGAGCAGCCTATTGTGCAGCAGGATATTCTGACGGGAACTCTTATCTGATGCATTAGTCTTTAGAGCCTGTTCCCAGAAAAAAATCCATACCAACCACATCCTTTTGCTTTCTGTTTAAAGGCAGGAACGAAATACCCAAATGACCTTTACCAATTAAGTCAGGAGGTGTGCTTGCCTTTAAACTGATCCTCCTTCTTCTTTTCTAGCCACATTAATTAATAGTTCCCAGCACCACTTTGGAAAATAAACTTCAGTGTGCATCTACTAGACAAAATAAAGATGAATGTGAAGCTTCCATCTGATGAGGAACATACAGAGAGATAAGGGCCGACTCCCTCGAATGTGAAGCTTCCATCTGATGAGGAACTCCCCTCACAGTGGAGAACTCGGAAACACCAAAGGGAAACACTCAGCATCCTCTCTGTGTCTGAATTATGCAACAGAAGAGTCGGTTTGCACACACCATTCAACAATGTTACGGTTTACAGTGTTTTCAGAATGGGTGAAAGGCAGCTTCAAGGAAGATCTTGAAGAAAATGAAGCATCTCCTTCATTTTCAATTAACATGAATACCACTGCATTGATCAAGAATTATGAAGATGCATTCACCTATTGCTTTTGAAAGATTTAATGCTAAAAACATATTGAAAACCAAGTCCTTATATTAAAGCACCAGAACACAACAGTATGGCAACAAGAAACAAACAGCAGTGTCAACCCATCCTGAGCACTGGAAGTAACGTTCTGAGCCATTCCCGTTTTATTTAGGGTCACAGCACGTATTTCTTGAGGATCTGCACATGATAAATAAGTGTCCGGCACAGTATGTTAGCTCTGTCAAACAGATTTTCTTCTTCTTTACTGGAGTGGCTTAAGAGGGTCACAAGTGAGAAAGCAACAGGAATAAGATTTTCTATTTTCTTGGCTCAAATGATAAAAACATAAACCACAATACACTGCATACAATTTTGGATTTCAAGGAAAACTCCTCCAAGCTCCACAGCAGCTAGCAGCTTGTCTCTATTTGCTGTCACTCTAGATCAGAAGAGCCCACATGCTTTTTTTTCCTTTCCTGCCCCTTTCAGTTACACTTGAGCTCTTTGACTGAAAAGGTCTGGAACAGATTAAAAGTCCGACCACAAAATAAAGAGCCTTGGCATGTACTCAAGCCTGTCTGGGATACACATACACAGTGGGCCCAAAAAGGGAAGCTATGCAGCAAGCAACCCTTATGCAGTCTTTTGGCTATTTCTAACTTCTTTCAGTTTAACTGCACAGCCTTAACATTTCATGGAGCTTCAGCAGGCACAAGACAAGTAGCTTTTCCTCGTATGGCTTGATGTACTATTTACAGGAATACAAAACAGCTCTGAGAAACAAGATTCATCTCACTCGTGACCTTTGTCAATTAAAACCTTTTCCACACTGCTTTCTAGTTCCAGCTGGCCTCTGTGGCTCTTGCCATTCTGAACACTACGGTAATACAAAGAAAAGCAACACACATATACTGGAAGATTACTTAAGTAAATATAACCGGCCTGCCTCTCTCTGCTGCAAGAGGCAACACAGATTTTTGGAAGTACTCCTTCCTCTTAAAGCCTTAGTCACGTATTCAGTAATTGCGAAGCTGCCAATGACCCACACACTCCTCCTGAGATGCACAAACCTGCAGGCGGGTGTCAGAGCCAACATGGGCATCTGTCAAAGCTGATGGTAATCAAAATAAAAGGAAAATATATATATATGCACACACACACATATATATATGTGCCACCTTTGGGCTCAAGTTGCACAGTGGTTCAACCTGACTACAAGCTAGCGAGCAGCTGATAAACAGCGTGACAATCTAGTGTTTTCCATAAGAGCAAGCGGATGTTTAATGCAAGCACTCAGCCTGCAAAACAAAACTGCTGAAAATTTTAACAGCCGTTTCACAAAACCAAAACGGAGCAGGCACTGGCGAGCACTGCAGCTCTCTGTTTATATGGCATTCATGGAGTTAATGCCTCTCCCAAAAGGGGCCCACAGTTGTTGTTAGGTCAACCCCTGTAAAGCTTCAAAGGCTTTGAATCCCCTCGGCCTGACCTACGCGGTGATCTGCACACTGTTTTCATTTAGCTGCTCCGAGGCCAAAAGCAAAGCTTCAAATCTACAATGATTTTTTCTTTTTTTACCCTACTGTTTTTTCCATTGCTGTGGAAAAATAGCTAACATCCAAACGAGATGAAAATAGTAAGTTACTGGGAAAACAGATCAAGAACAAATTAATATGTCTAATAGAGTTTATACACACAGGTCATGACTTCTTGCAAAAATAAAATAGCAATTTCACTGTAAACACATAAGAACAGTCACTTGGATGATCTAAGGAGCTCATTTAGATGTCTCTAACAATGTTACATTCTATTGCTATTTGTATCAATAGCGGCAGTATTTTACTGCAGAGTCTGCAACTCTGCTTTTAGCGTTCAAAAACTTTGCTAAAACATGAGCGTACAAAAAAAATGCCTCAAACCCCAAATATCAGTTCTAATGCATTATATATTTAAATTAGGGATCAGAAGATCTAGATGGAATTTACTATTTCTATGTGCAATGTTACGTAGTCTAATTAATATTCTTTACCCCTCAAAAGAAGATTATGATAGAAGCAACAGAACTAAATCTCTCCCTTTTTTAAAAGAGATTTTTTTTCCATGATCATCACTGTGACAAGCTGGAATTATAAGCTGGTATATGTTTCAAGCATATTTAAAGAGAATAAATTGTTATTAGACAATGACCTCTTTAGGACAGGACCAAGGAAAGTATTGATTTGGTAATTAAAAGACTTTTCTGGTGTAAAATTTTGCAAGTTTAAGGGAGACTGGACAAAGTCGAGGCAGACAAGATATTTCTGAATGCCACCAAGTTTGGGAACCGTATGGATCATATGGCAAAAATCCCAAACCGTAGCATTAGCACCTTGGGTGACACACACTCTTACAGGATATAAGCTAATCCTTCAGAAGGGGAAAAAAAAAAAAAAAGGAGGATTTTAAATAAGGTTTCTATGATTCAAATTAAAATATATTTTAAATCTCATTTAATCTTACTACAAAAAGTTTCCAAAATATGTCTGCAAAATGAAAGCTGCTAAGTGAACTGAAGCGGATCAAAAATGCTGAAGCGAGATGAACTTTTACCAAAGCGTGGGTCAAGCCTTGGGTCTAGCCAAGATGTGGTCTTGTTCTTATGGTTTATGTAGTAAATTTCTCCATCCTGGGTCATAGCTTGTTCCCATCCATCGGGGAGTGGGCCTGCAATATAGAAGGAAGGAGTTCATGGCGCGCTCTTGTTTGCTCCAGCTGAAAATTGATCTAAAAAAAATTGCAACATTTTACATATATAACAGTACATGAAACAAGAGAGTTCCAAGCTCATGTCTAACATTTCTGGGATAAGGACAAAGTGGCAAATGAGAAATAAAAGTATAGAAAGTATTTCTATCATTTTTATCTAAGATTTGGAGTTCAATTTTGAAGAAGGTGTTAGCATCCTTTTATATGATTTTGACACTTCCTTTTGCTATAGCCACATAGTACAAAACCAGCAATAAGTCAAGCCTGCCAGAATGAACCCAGCATGAGCACCAGAAAAAAAAGAATGAGGACAGTCTACCTTGCAAGGAAAAGTTCAGCTAGTGAATAGAGGCCAGCAGCAAGAGAACATGACAAGATTCTAAAATTGTATTTGTCTCTTCCATAGAGCAATTAAAAAGTCAGGACTTATTTCCCCCTTTCCTCATACTGTGACCTGCTGTGAAAGTGCTAAAAGCTGCAGCAAACACAAAAACACAAACCGTAAAAGCAGGGGACAAAAAGCAAATGGAAAAGCAAAGGTCAAAACCAGCAGGAACGGACAGGAACACGAAGCACTAGGAAGAGCAGTGTCACCTCTACAAGCAGGACAGCACGTGCACGGGAACCTACGTTTAGGACACGGAGGAGGGGGACAGATGTGTTTGGGAGTCCAGTTAATGCCTGAATATGGAGTGTCAAGGGATTTCTCTTGTGCTCCAAACTGCAGCTTTCAAGAAAACAACCTTTACTTGGATACTGCCTGTGACCCACTCATTCCCATGTATATAGGATCATGTACATTCGTCTGTATTTGCTTTGTTTGAAAGCTATTCTCCAGGCTGGCTTCCTCTCATCGCAGGTGCTTTACATGTTTTCGATTTTTAGATCTATCATGTAGACATAGACTTTCAAAATTATCTAGATTGGATACAGGACATTTTACTCTCATTTCTTTAGAGTTGAATGCAATCTTAAGATGATTTACCAAGAGATCCACTACAAATCTTAAGAAAGTAAGAGAAATTAGAACAGGACCAGGAAGCAGGTTAACTTTTCTTCCTGCTCTTCCTCGATGCACTATAACAAAACATTAGTAAGAGTCACCTGGTTACTAAACTTTGACTAACAGGCTACTCAGTAAAGTGTAAGGTGCATTATGTGAAGCATGTACAGTCAGTAAGATTTCACACATGAGATTCAGATATACACACAAAAATCCAAACACGTGCCTGAAGCACCTACTCTACCAGTGTTGGAACACACTGATTCTTCCCGCCTTGGCTTGTTCTGAAGTGAGGCTGTTGAAGATTTCCATTGTTTAAAAGTCACTGGGAGAAAAAAATAGACTTGACTTGTTTGCTTAATCCCTAACTATGTTCTCAGGGGAATGTCAAAAAGAGTGAAATAGCCACTAGATTGCATTCCAGGAATATCCCAAGGCACAAACAAAAATTCTTACTCAAGTACTTGGCCCAAGTAAATGCCCCGCAAACTATATTTCTAGCCTATACTCTTCCATTTTGGTCCAGAAAGCTTTGTAATTCCTCAAACCCACCACTCCATCATTAGGGATACAAGTTTTCAAGAGAGGACAAGTAGGGATCTAACAGTTGGATACCTCCTTCCTATTCTCACAAGCTTTAAACACTATGTACAAAGTAACAAAAGTACCTTGGCTTTTATTAAAGGCCAGTGCACATGATGGGCAAGATGGTTCCATGAGAATGCTGAAAAACATTCATAAATTCTAAAATATCCACAGTATAAAAGGACATCTATGCAGAATTCAAAATTCAAGTGCAAAGAACCTGGTACATGTCGTCACACCCCGAAGTCCATGCAGCTGAACTTCCAGACTGCTTCACAAAACTGAGGCCCTTGCCCCAGATCACTGAAGCGCAGAACCCCACAGAGCACCAGGTGGGTCCCTTGGGGGTTAAGGCACTGCCCTCGCTGCAGGGACAGGCCTCCTCACTACCATCCTCCTCAGAGTCCTTCCACTCCACACGTCTTTAGTAGGTGAAGGTCGGTGGGAAAGTATCTTCTAAATTCCAAAGCTAAGGGAACAGCTGGTTCTGGGAAAACCCAAACCAGCCTTGGGGTGCCAGTCCTTCTGAACATCGAGTAGAGCCAATACTGGTCTGGCATGTTCCTTTGTAGTAGAGAACAACAAAACACCTTTGAAGCAGAATGCCAGGGTTTGTTCGGTCCACCTGCCTTTTGGAAGCACCCTGCTTATTAGACTCAATGATCTAAGGCCTATTAGTTTGCTAGACCCAAACCTGGGCAGGGCTCCTTTTCCAAATAAAATACACGAGCAGCACAACGGGCCGCAGAGGCCCCTGCTCACCTGGCTGCCACAGCAGCAAGTCTGCCTTGCTAAGCACCACCAGCAGCTGCAGAAACACACTTTCACCCTCCGAAACTTCCGCCATTAAACACTACGTTGGTTTCCTTCCTAGCCAGGAAACT